CTCCATAATTTTTTTCTTTTTTTTTTTTTTTTATTGGGTGTTATTTTCGTTACTTTATATTGAGCACATTACATTATTATTATTTTGTTCTTTTTATTTTGAAATTTAACAATGTTGAGCTTGTTGCGCAGTGACAGCAGTTGATAGTGGGAGAAAGGCTTTGTAGTTTTTAGGATTGGATGGAGAAGAAAAAAATTTGGTTGATTTTGATGTAATTAAGTTGTTATTTTCCATTTTTCATTTTTTTTATAAACTATATATATTTATTTAATTGTTTATTCAATTTAACTATTATTGTTGGTTAAATGATATTTTGGGTGTACATTGATTTTGGCCTTTCAGGGCTTCAAAGTAGATCTGATAATTACAGACTATTTCATGCCTGGAATGAATGACTATGAGTTGCTGAAAAAGATTAAGGTCAGATTAATAAATAAATAAATATAAAATGGTTGATGAAGATATGTTAATCATTAACAAAATAAAAAATAAAAAATGTATATATATATTTTTACTAACTATAGAGAATTTCTTAATTTTGTGCATAGGGTTCATCTAATTTTAAAGAAATACCAGTTGTGATCATGTCATCAGAAAACGTTATGCCTCGAACTGAAAGGTGATTTAAATTTTGTGTACACTATCAAATTTCCCAATTTTTTTTTTCGAGGATTTTTTTTTTTTTTGATTTGTTAATTGATGTTAAATATTAATATTATCAGATGTCTTAAAGAAGGTGCTGAGGACTTCATAGTGAAGCCCGTGAAATTATCCGAAGTAAGATGGCTAAAAAACTACATGGTTCGCGAAATCGGCTCAAATCAAATTCAAGAGCCCGACAAAAGAAAACCGTATAATTCACTTTCGCCCGGCCCATCTTCACCGTCCATCTCGCCAAAATCACGCTTGTCATCCGCTCATTTCCTGGCCCAATTAATCTAGGGTTTCTCGTGTACTCCATTCGATATATGAAAGCTTCTTTTGATTTGTTACAAAATTGATACTCTCTCCTATTTTTAATAAGTGTTGTTTTGAGAAGTTGCATAGTAATTAAGAATTTTTTTGTTCAAGAAACAATTTCGTGTTTTGTTGAAAAATAAACAATTTCTTGAGCAAGAAACAAGTTTCTTGTTTCTTGAGCAATAAACCGGTTTCTTAAGCAAAAAACAGTTGTCTTGAACAAGAAACCTGTTTCTTGAACAAGAAACTCGTTGTGTGTTCAAGAAACCTGTATCATGTTCAAGAAAGTTCAAGAAATTGTTTCTTGAACAAGAAACTGTTTTTCATATATTTTAGTCTAAACACATTTGAAGAAAAAAAAAAAAAGTTGAAGAAAGTATTTGTAATAAGATTTTCTTTTTTATTATTTTTTTTTTCAAATGGACGTTGGTAAAGTGTGAATTGTTCACAATGGCTTCTGGGATGAGAATGTGTACAAAAATGGTGAGACAGAGATGAATTTTTTCAGTCTTAGGACCTCATCATATGAAACTTTCATAAATAGAGTTCATGACATTGTTCGTGGAGATAGAAACATGTGCGACTACCGATTTCTCTGGTAGTTAAAAAAAATGGAGTTTATTTTGTTGAACTCATATTTTTTTTTGAGTTAAAAAAAAATGGAGTTTTTGTGCTTCGAAAAAAGGGGTTGTGTTTTGTTTCTTAATCAATGGTATTTTTGCTTCTTTTCCATTGTTTTTATTCTTGGCAAGTCACGTTAGATCTCGCGAAAAATTCCGCAATGTTGGAGGAAAACTCCTGCAGAACATATTTTTCTTGTTTAGTTAGAACACCTATTGTTTTCTTGTTTTTGTGCTTCAAAAAAACAGGTTTCTTGTTCAGAAAACAGGTTTCTTGCTCAAGAAATTCTTGAGCAAGAGACAAGTTTCTTGAGCAAGAGACAGGTTTCTTGTTCAAGAAACCCGTTTCTTGAGCAAGAAACATGTTTCTTGAACAAGAGTGCACGCACAACCGGCTCAAATTTAGTTTTAAATGGATGCATAGTTTGCTAAACATTTAAATTATCATTTTCAATCTAGATAGCTGCCACCGTTAGATGTTCTACAGTTCTTCATTGATCTTTTCTTTAACAATAAAAATCTCATGTTTATTCCATTGTCCATAAACAACAACAATTTACACAGAAGTTACACAGTATCCACCGCAAATCACGACAAAAAATAAAGATCACCCACGCATATCATCAATATCTGACGCCAACAAAAAGAGAAAACAAACGAAAAAAAAAATTTAAGGGACTTTTGAAATCGATATTGTACCTTCAAGCCCATTTGTAACAATGGCACCACATTAGCTAGTGAGAGATTTCAGATAGATAGCTAAAGAGAAATTAATAGAAGCCCATTTTCTAGTCAGCTTCAGAATGCTCCTGAAAACTAATCTCTCAAAAAATGTGAATAATCTCCAAGCTCCATCTGATTATTTCCAGTAAATGGAGTTTTTCTAGTCACAAGTTGGAATAGAATGGCTACAACACTCCAGAGCTCTGCCTGCATTATAGGTTAAAAATTAATACACGACTTGAATTTAGGTGTCTGCTTGATTGCGTAAAGGTGAATCTCATTATAGCATCATATTTATGGAGCTGCATTATTTATGGAGCCATGTAAAGAGGTGAACCACATAAGGTTTCTTCAAGGCCTCTTGGTTGTAGATCTAGCAGAAGGATGATAAGTGAAATGCAAACTGTAAGCTTTATCTCTTAACATGTTAATATTCCACACACATTACTTATGCAAGAAACTCAAGATTATAATGTTCCTGCTCACAAGTAGGCGATAGATAGTAGCCGTACCTGGCAAAGCTGAAATCGGCAATCTTCAAGGCATTATTGTCACCGTCTGTGGAAATGATGAGATTCTGTGGAAGGAAAATAGACAAGCAAATGCGATACTTTAGTTCATAATTATCACTTCTCGTAAAATTATTGTACTTGCATAAAAATATTGATTATCTGAAAGGGTGATACAAAACTTTTTGGAAGACTGATGATTGGTCGGAAAAGAGTGTGCATTTTATATATTTATTAGCGTATTTTTATATGCTTAATTTGTATCGCACTTATATGTTTTTTCGACTTATTTATTTATTAGATGGATTCTCGTACTATGATATTTTTATGTTTTATTTTCAGAATATTGGAGTATTTTCGGGGGCGACAAAACATTAAGATAAGCCAGCAGGAATTTGTGAGAAAAAGAACCAAGTGAGGATTCATTTAGAATTAATTAAAGGGCCGTAAGGATTTGTTGTGGGCTGGAAGAAATTATTTGAAAAGTAATTATTTGCTTGAAAGTGGTGGACTTTTATTTGGGCCGTGAGTTTCATAGAAGAGCAGGGGGAAATTGGACTTTCACGCAGCAATCTATATGCATAATTTGTGAATTATTTGCAAGCATCACTTAGGATTTATATATACTTGACGCATCACGCCCTATTTTCTTCTGGAGAGAACACACGCAGCCACCACGCATCACGCCAGAGAAAAAGAAACAGCAACAGAGAAAAGAGACGCGGACAGAAGCGAGAAACCCTATCAATTGCGGAAGGAAGCCGCACCTGCATACGAGGGAGATAATTAATCTCTCTCTTTTATTTATTTATTTTTTTATTATGTTAGGCTAGTTTATTTCTAGTTCCGGGGAAGTCGAACCCTACGATTGACTATGTTTTGATTGATTTACATGGTTGAGGATTTTAATATCTTTCTGGAATTGCTTGTGTTATTTTGAATAATTCACCATGATGTGTCAGTCTTGTTTAGATTGATCACCTAGATTAGGCTTTTCATATTTACATCTGAGTTAGACCTGCAATGCGTAATTGTTGTTGTGTTTAATTCATAAGAGGTAACCGGAAGATGATAACTACCGGGGATAACACGGCCTATTTAAGTGAACGAACGCGGTTGAGTTCACTAATTAGTCTAGCCTATTTTTCTAATTCGTAAAGCGGCTAATTGTATTAAATCTTGAAAACGTTTTTCTGGACTGTACAGGAAGTCAGGTTTAATCGTAGAGCGTCTCGCGGTTAAATTAAAAATAAGGAAAAATTCGGGTAACAGACCGTGTCGTTGCCTAGGGCTAGTAATTCCATAAGATAGCGAGATTTGATTCCAAAGTTGATTAGACGAGTCAGTCGAGGGTGTAGACAGAACCGTGAACTAGAAAGTTCTCTTCATTTATTTATTTTTATTTTTATTTTCATTGTTTAGATATTATTTGCTTTATTAGAATTTTAGTTAATTTAGTTATTAAATTCAATCCCCCTTTTTTATCGCTTTTATAATTTCAATTAATACGATAAAATTCACAATTTGATTCACACTCCTCGTGGGATCGACCCTTACTTGCCGCTACTACTAGTTAGTAGAGGTTAGTTGAGGAAAATATAAATTTTAATTTTGCCGCGTTGCGACGCGCGGTCAACTGATTTTTAAAAAAGATGCAGAGGACGAAAAATGCACTAAAAATTATCAAGTGGTGCTCTTCCTTGCAAAGATATCTAACGCGAGCTATTTTACTTTTAAAAATTCATTATCCAGATGGCAACAATCAGACTACACAAATGAAAAAAATGTAAGTTTGTTTTCAAGGCAAACCTGAGGCTTTAAATCCAAATGTATAAGATTGTTTCCACGAAGAGTTTTTAGACCCTCCAATGCATCATTTGAACTAAAGGAACCCCTTAATGTCCCAAAAGTGAAACAAAACACAATAGCAAATAGAAAGAAGATGAGTGGATACCTAGTTGCTGCATAAAATGCTTTGCAATTTCGTCAGGGATTTTCAATATCACCTTGAACTCTTCACCCTAGTTAACAAACAAAACAAAAAGAAACAAGAATCAAGTACACCAAGGGAAAGTGCAAAACAAACAGAGCTGCAAAACTGAAGAAGATATCGGAATTTGTAGCTGGAATTGAACTATTAGAATTTAGAACCCTAATAGCTGAAATTACCTTTGTGAAACGGTTTGAGTTTCAGCAGTACCGTCGAGGTAATCGCCGGGCCGCTGCTATCATTCATTTTCGTCGCCGTCCTGGAGGTAATGGATGACCACACGTTCTGTATGAAAGAGAAGTCCGTCTACTCGTCAGATCATGATAACTGTAAATGAGATATTTATCAATAAGGGATAAAGAATATGCAGAAACAAATGAGTAATATCCAACTGTTAGAATGTTAGCCAGATCGTAATCTGGATCTCTAATTGCATACTCTTTCCTATTTATTTCTTGTTCATCCAGACAAATCAAATAATACTTCTCCATATTCCTTTTTTCTAAAATTATTAATAAATGTAGCACAACCTAGACCAAGCCATGATGAATTAAAAATCTTGTCGTCTTCCTCTGCATCATAGTCCGCCACCACATGGTATGGTAATAGTCTAAACCATACATATATAACAGGGGCACAATTTTTACTAAAAAGCGAATAAATAATTTGCAGTCAAAAACGATTTCTTTTCAAGCATTCAACATTTTTATCCAAAAATCTTTCAGTAATATCATGCACAATCAACAACATACCATCACTAGGAATCAAAACTTTTGATCTGCTATGGTAGAGCCTCAGCAAATGAAGTTTTCTAAATAAGTTTAGCAGGTTCTCAAAAACGTAGAAATCCATAAACTTCACAATTCAATATTCACATTATTCCTTGTTAAAGGGTTAAAATTTCATAGCAACCTACCAGCAGACATATAGCTACAATTTAATTTAGAGGTGAAACAATGGACATCTGAGTAATACTTGAGGCAACAACTAAAAAACTAAAAACTAGGAGAAAAGAAGACCTCTCGCAGGCATCTTCGAGGGAAGAGAACGGGCGCTTGAAATCGGGATGACAAACCCGCCAGACGTCCTGAAAACAAAAATTAATTGAACTCAAAATACACATTTTTACTAAAAACCCTAAAAATCGCCTAAAAATACAAATATAATGACAAGGTCTGCCGTGAGCCTCTTTGCGGGCGTAGGAGGAGAGCACTCGACGAGGACAAGCACCTTAAATCGATGAGAGGACAAGCAACAAAAAAAATAAAAAAAAAATAAAATAAAGGAACCGCACCTTAAATCGCCGGAGGAGAAGAACAGAGCACTCGACGGACGGATGGAGGTCGATTTACGGGCTTCAGAGCAGCGAATAGTCGGAATTTTGGCGTGAATGAAAGCAATCGAAAGAATAAGAAATGCTCTTGAAAGAAAGCAATGGAAGAAGGAGAGTTGAAATGTTTTTCAAAAACAGATGAAAAAATGAGGGGCGGGGTTGATGAAAGAAAAAGGGGGAAAAAAAGAAAAGGGGAAAAAAAGCAAAAAATTGTGTCTAAAGACAATTGTGTACTTTTGCAAGCCAAAATGGCTAGATTTCATTTTTTTTACAAACATGGCTAGATTTCATTTTTGCTTTTGTTTTAATGCTATAAAGGGGCATTACCACTCCCAAAGATTATCTGCAATATATTATGTGTAAATTATATGAAGTGTGTTACCAAAAATAACGATATTTTAAAAGATTTGTTATCAAAATTCGATATTTGTTATCACAGTCAGATCAAATCTGTTAACAAAATCGGAGATTTGTTATCAAAATAAGATCAAATTTGTTATTAAAATCCGAGATTTATTATCAAAATTCGATTAAACTTGTTACCAAAATCCGATTAAATTGGTTGACATGTGGGGCCCATTGATATTGCTTATATTAGTAAGTCAACAATTAATTTTTTATTTTGAAGATTATGTGTTATATCTATGTGACATAATGTTTACCAAAATTAATGGTGTTTGTTACAATTTAATTTGGTAAGGCTTTTTGGATTGATTGAAAAATTATATTTTTCTTTTGATATGTACCTCGAGATTTTTCTGCAATATTTAACTCCAAACAATCCGAAAAAATTGTGAAATATGTTACCATAAGAAATCCCAAAGATTATCGACAATATATTGTGTGTAAATAACTATGAAATGTGTTACCAAAAAAACCGATATTTTAAAATATTTGTTGTCAAAATTCGAGATTTGTTATCACAATCAGATCAAATTTGTTAACAAATCCGAGATTTGTTATCAAAGTAAGATCAAATTTGTTACCAAGATCCCAGACTTGTTATCATAATAAGTGAACAATTATTTCTTTAAGTCAAAGTTACTATTTTTCTATTTTTACAACAATCTCTTTATATTACTATAGATATAGAGATATGTGTGTAGAAAAAATCAGTTATCTCAAATGTAACCACCGAGCAATTTTTTAGGGATTTATAATGTATTGATTATTGTATAATAATTTTTGAAAATATATAAAATATGGGTACTACTTAAAATTTCATGAATTTAGTGGATAATAATATAGCTAAATTCTAATTTAGTTTTTATCTATACCAAATATTGATGTCCCCAAATCAAGGAGATTTTTTTGCACTTACTGATAGATAAACATTATAAATTCATAAATTTAATTAACTTCTTATTTACATTAGGGACATTAGTTTTCTGGGCGAATTATTTGAACACGAAAGAAAAAAAAAATTAGAAGAATGAAGTTGGGAATAGTTGAAAGATTTCCATCAGATTAAGATATATTGTTCCAGCGAATATATATTTACCTTAGTTTTATGAATATGGAGATAAAATATTTTAAATATTCTTATAAATTTAAAAATTAGAAGAATGAAGTTGAGAATAATTGAAAGATTTCCATCATATTAAGATATAATTATTCCAGCCAATATTTATTTACCTTAGTTTTATGAATATGGAGATAAAATAGTTTAAATATTCTTATAAATTTACAATGTAACGACGTTATTAGTTTTTAATACATATTGTCAATTTTGTCACATAATGTATATATTTTGTTTGTTTCAAAAGGAAATTATTTTTTTTAAAATGGTATTAGGAATTATTGCCACCAGATAAGATATGCTGTCAAACTCAAAGATTACTCATAGACAAATGTTACAAAAAAAATAAAAAAAAAATTGAAAGGATATCAAATAAACTAACGAACTAATAGGGATTTACATTTACAACAACAACAACAACAACAAATAATAATAATAATAATAATAATAATAATAATAATAATAATAATAATAATAATAATAATAATAATAATAATACCTGGCAAATGAGCATCTGAAGGCCACCCTCAAATCTCAATGAAGAGCAGCCGCCTCCCGATCCTGTCCACTGTGAAAATCGAGCCCAAATGTGGCAACGCTGCTGTTCCACTCCATTTCTAATGCTAAAAATCTGCAGTCAGGTGCACTGAAACGAAAAATGATTTTGATATTTTTTATTTGTCAAAACGAAATAATGAGAACAATTGCTTCTTGGAGATGCTAGAAGATCTATACATAGTTTTCTGTTATGAGTGATGTTGATATCAGGATAGATTATCTTGAAATAATGGTTAGATTAAAAGAATCGTGAAGTCTAAATCACGGATTGGATCTTGGGCGATGTAAAACAGAATATACGGCACCTCGGAAATATCATCTCGGTACTTACACGACGTTCTTATATGATGCTGTGAATAATACAACAAATCTCCAAAGGTCGTCAGCACAAGTCGTTTGAACCTTGAAAAGACCATCTCGGTTGAAAGAACAACTTATCAGGAAGTCGTAGAAGACTGAATGTTTATCAAAATACCGACGTTACAAAACGTACCGACTTCGATCCGACAGATGTGACGCTTGTCACACAGATAGAGGCGCGCCCATACTCATCATTGCCTAAAAAGTTCGTCTACGTCATCGCCGCCCCTAAACTGTCAAATCTCCATTAAAACGAAGCTGATTTGCTTTGGGAGGTGTGCCAAACATAACTATAAATAGCAACATCGAGAAACCATAGAAGGATTCGGCAAATCTGATAAAAACACATATATTGAACTCGGTTTCTTCTTTGTTTACCGACTTGTTGAACATTAAAGAACCGACTTCCCGATTCTATAACCGACTTCAAGAATTTCAATCGAAATCTCATTTTCTTCAATTTTTATTGTGATTTTTACTTTCATTACGTTGATTAAATCCGTTTATCAACATTTTGGCGCTAGAAGGAGGGCTCCATAAGATATTTGGAGTTAATTTTCGAAATATACACACCACATCTCAAAAATCAAGAATGTCGCAGTCCGGACAAGATAACCCAACAACCATGGGAAGCGCCGTTCGTGTTGTTGAACAGCCAACCGGACAACATAATCCAGTACCTGGGATGCCGGACATCGCCATGCTCATGCAGAACCCAGAATTTGCTCGAGGACTCACTGCTTTGCTGGCCCAAACCATGCCTGGACCATCACAAAGGATACCGGGACAACCTTTTGCTCCTATAACTCCGGCGAGACAGCAAGGTCCTCCCATACAAAGGAATAACAACAATCAAGCGGCGTCACACGCCACTTCACAACCACGCGACAACAATCTACCCCCTCCACCGGCGAACAACGTACCACCGGTAAACAACGTACCACCAGCGAACAACGTACTGCCGGCAGAGATGAACCAGCCTGAAATGAATCAACCGGAGATGGTTGCTGAAAGACATCCCCGGCATGCCCCCAGAATTCCTCATGCAGTTCGTTCGTTGTTTCAACAAACCGAAAATCCAATTGACCTGAGAACGCAAATTGAACGTAATCGTTGCGCTCGACGTAATGTTTCCGAGGTCGAGGCGTTAAGAAGGAAGGTGGCAGAGTTGGAAGCCCGACAAACCACTCAAATCAGGCCTTATCAGCATCCTCACGTGCCAGAACCGGACCATGTCTATATGGAAGTCGATTCTCCTCTGGCACCCGAGTTGACCAGGGGTCCGTTGCCGGGAAAAGTCAAAGTTCCCCAAATTGGCCTCTATGACGGAAACGCTGATCCTGACGCTCATCTCGGACATTATACGTCATGGATGGACTTGCATGGTGCTGATGACGCTCTATGATGTCGTATGTTTTCCCTGACCTTAGGTCCTAAAGCTCAGAAGTGGTACTATTCACTACCGGCCGAATCGATCCGATATTGGGGCCAACTCAGATCGGCTTTCAGGTCCCATTTCATCGGGGCCCAGATTAG